TTTCATGTACTTCTTCAGTCAATTTGCATGTTTCTCTTTATATTTAATTAACAATGTTAGTTCAGCTGAAGACATGAAAGCAACCAATGTTCTTAATATTCTGAATTTTTTCTCTCTGATTACATTTACAACACCAACTTTTTTGAAAAATATTTTCTTTTGGTGGCATTCATAATCTCACTTTTCCTTCTTGTTCTTGTCAATGTTTTCAGTTTCTGGATTTGTCTTTGATCTCTTGTCAAGTTTTTCACAATTTCCTATATTATGTTCTCAATTACAATGTCTTGTTTCTCATTTACACTATTTACATTGTTCAGACTATTGTCCTCATCTTTGTGCTATGTTCATGATATTTAGACATTTGTACCCTCTGACTTTTTTAGGTGATTGGTATTTTGAACTGAACCTTTTATTTGTCCAACTTTTGATTTAGTTTTTCTAATTTTCAACTAAGTTATTTTATATTGAAATTAAGTTTCCAAATTGCTGGAATCAATTTCAAGTGATAAAAGTGATGCCATCTACAATAGTTAAACTGAATTTATATATACATTTTTTTTAATAAAACTTGTTTGAAAGAGTACTTGTTATCTAAATACACCTTATTTAAATGTATATGTATATATATAGAAAACAAACAAAATAATTATTTGTTTACTATTGTTGCTCTATTTCTTAATATTAGGCATACTTTATTTACAAAGATTGTTTAAAAGTGTTATCCTCCAGAAATACATGAGTCAATCTTTTTTTTATTTCAGCTCTATATGAAATAACAAAGATTTTATTTCAAAGAAAAAAAGTTGACCCATGTATTTCTGGAGTGTGTTTCTCATTGAAATGCTTATCAGGGCCAGATACACACATGCGCGCACACACACACACACACACAAACTATTTAAGTATAGTTTATAAAAATAGGCATGACACATGAACACAGCTTAATGTGAGCTTTTACACTATTAAATACTTACTTTTTATAACTGCTATATACAATTTTATTTTTGACAATAAACTTGTTACAAAATCATGCTTGATTTTAGCATTTATGTTCTTTCATAAATCATGAACAAGATCCTTAGATCCAGCATACATGATCTTTTGTTTAGACTTCTTATGATCCATCTATGGATTTGTATATATTACCCCATCAGTAAATCAATCAGGTTTAATTCTCAAGATAGATTGAATGTTGTAGTATTCATGGTTAAAACTGTTATTCCTTTTCTCCTGTTTAATAATAAAAGTAATAAAAACAAAAGCCTAAGAAAACTGAATGAAATAGACTTGGCTACATACCTAGACACTTCTAAAAAAAAAAAAAAAAAAAAAATTTTAAAAGTTTAAAATTTCAGTGTTCCAACATTTTCAGCATCTCTTGTCTTGCACAGACATTAATTATAACTAAAACTTACATTTTTATATTTCTCTCCTCTTCCTACATATATATAATTCCATCAGCAAAAACATTACTTTATTTTGATGAAGTCTTAAAACATGAAACATGTGACACAAATTTTTTTCCACTTGTTCTGATATATAAAAATTAATATATCATATTCTCCCATAAAGACATATATTATTCTCACCCATCTATATCCAATACTACTTTTTAATGTTGCATGTCTCCAGTTTTCCTTTGTTGTTGCAGCTGCCGCTGCTGCATTTCTGATTTCATCGATTGATTCACTTGTTCCAGGGTCCAAATATTTTACATAATTAGATTTGGTTGCCTTCTTTCTTTTTTTTTTTCTTTTTGGCTTCATTTTTTTCTTATTACCTTTCAGGTAATTCTCATTTTCAATGGACACTGAAAGTAAAAAGAAAAAAAAAACCTTGCTCAGGGTTAAAATAAAAAAAAATGATCTCCCAGAAAGCATTTTTTTCTTAATAAATACTTCATGTCAGTTTACTCATATTATTCTTTGTTTTTTTTCCCCATTCTTGTCTGCCTCTAATCTTGCTTCCATTTTTATTAGAGACAGTGAAAGGGCATTTTCATAAATCCAATATTTTTCAAACTACCATTATGTATTTCTTCAGTTACTGTAAGTCATGCAATCTAATGTTCGTTGATAGTCAAATGTTTTTCTTTGATATTTTGATTCTGACATGCATTTAGGGACAAGATTATTTCTGTTTACATAAAATCAAAATAGTTTCTAATCTACTTTTGTTCGGCATTCTCAGATGGCACTAAAAGTGGGGAAAAAACTATATTTTCTATTTTTCATTCAGTTCAAAGTATCATGTCTTTTTCAATTAAAATGCTTATTTTAATTTGCACTTCAGAAAGAAATGCACACACACACACACACACACACACACACACACACATATGAATTGGAATCTAACAGAATAAGAAAATGATCAAATAGTAAACATTTATCAATTTAATAGGTTTCACTTTTATTAAAGCTTTATCAGAGAATGAGACATGGAATTTTTCTCCATATCTCATTCTCTGATGAAGATTTAATAAAAGTAAAACCTGTTAGATTTATAAACATTTCTTATTTGTTCACTTTCTTATTCTGTTAGATTCCAATCTGTATTTGATCCTATCATAAATATATATATATATATACACACACACACTAGATTAACAGTCGCCCTATCAGGCAACATTTAAGCTAGCTCCTGCAGAAAGCTCATGATTGGGTCTTCATCACAATACGTAGGGAGGAGTAGATCTGATAGGCAACAATAAACTACAGAAGAACTTCATATTGATTGCTGCATTTAAGTATTCCAATAATATTTAAGCGCTTACGTTTTGAAAGTTAAACAGTAATTCTTCTGCCACCACTTAATTTAAGGACAGTTTTATGTATGTAGGTCCTTACTTTTTGTATAAGTAATTGTTTTTATTTCATGGGTGACTTTCACTGGATTTTGCAATTAATTTCAATTATTCCCAAATTTATTTCCAAGTTATGAAAATTGTTAGCATCCAAAAAAATTTGTTGCAAAAAAACTTTTACAAAAATCAATGAAAACAATTGCAGTAATGAAAACTTGGGAATCCAAAATTTCAGGATTGTTTGAATCTGGCCCAGATTTTTTTTTAATTTGCTCATGGAGTCAGCCTGATTCCAAAATGGTATGATATGTTGGGCTACAACCTCTAAGAGTAAAGTTGATAAAGTGTGACACAGTGGCATTCACATTTATTATATATATATATATATATATATATATATATATATATATATATATAGTGTGTATAGTTAGTTTTACTCCATCTTTTTAGTATTACTTTCTTTTGTCATAGTTACTCATGAACAATACACTCTTCATTATTACTGTTTTATTGTGTTTTGCATGATCTTCTTAGTGTTGCTTTTTATCACAATTCTCTCAATTGGTACATCCATTGTTTGATAAAATAGACAGCATTAAATTGAAAACAAAGTAATTGTTTCTGACAAGACTAACTTGCATTTCACACCTAGGGAACCTATTTTTCATGGACATCGGCTTCACCATTCTGGTTATGGAAATACTGATGATTCAGTAAGGCCAAATCTGAATTCTTTCTGCTCTCCTTTCAACCTTATTTTTGCCTTTCTAACAAACAATTGTCATCATAAATTGATAACATGCAACAATCAGATAATACTACATATATTTTAATTATCTCTTTTTGCATAGAGAATGTGTAAATTATTAATTTACCCTTAATAAAACCATTATATTTGACCTCTGTGTACATTCTGTCTATAGTTTAAATGGAAATCACTATTATTATAATAATCAATGTTACTTAATTCCCTAATCTGAAATCCCTAATGAATTAGCAGCTACTTAACCAGTTCAACATAGAGTACTCATTTACTGGTACATTGCTTTGGTATTGATTTGATGAAAAGAATTACACAGTCTAAGATGTAAGTAGAATAAAGTTGTTTATGCGAGCAATTTTGTACTGGCCATTTGTTGCTATTCACTGCTGATTTGAAATAGTGAAATTTATCCAAGAAGAGGTTATGTGAAACCAGAAGAAGTGGTTGCTATATGTTCACTGGCAGAAAGCAAAGCAACAAGTTTTGTGTGTTACAGATCTGATGTAATTGTGGTATATTTGACTTCTACCTTTTAAGGTTAAAGGTCATGTAAGACTTTAGCAAGTCTTTCACAGTCACTTCAAAAAGTATTAAATTTGGTTATTGAACTTTGATATTTTTTTGGCAATGTTGAAGTTTTGTTCTCACAAAAAAATAGTGTCAAAAAGACTGTCTTTCCATTGATGCCACTATTATTTTAACTACCTTCACTCGTTGATAATGTTTGTTTTAAAAAGCTATTATTAGAATTTTAATAAAACCTAAACATATGAAAGTGAATTTATGTATTGTTTTTTTCTTGAGAATTGACAAAAATAAACACTATTTATTATATTGTTTATTTACACTATTGTTTATTGGAAGGTTTGTTGAAACATTGGCTAAATGATAATTGATTTGAATTTTATAAAATGGTAAATAGTAAGCATTTCTTTATAATTTGTTCACATTTTAATAATTTAGTAAATGTTTATAAATTTATGAATAAAAAATTGTTTTTATATCTATTGCTTTATGAATTGGTAAATGGTAAATATTGCATTAATTTTAATTGTATTAGTTTTTAGAATGTTGTAAATATGAAATTATTCTTGTAAATAAGCAGTCTAATAGTGTTTAATATTTAAATTCTCAAGAACAAAATGTATAAATTCACTTTTGTTATATATTTAGACTTTATTAAAATTCTAATCATTGCTTTTAGAACAATAAATATTGCTGATGTGTGAAGGTTTTTAAAATATTAGTGGTGTCAAGGGAAAAACCATTCTTTTGACAGACCATTTTTTTTGCAGGCACAAAGGTCCAAGATGACACCCCTTTTTGATTTGTTTATTTTTTACTTTTAATTCTTTTTCTGTTTTATGTACTTTTTTTGCTTCCATTCTGAACTGACACTTTTTTTTCCTTTTTTTTTATTTAAAACTCTTCCAGGATGTTGGAAGATTTTCACAGAGATTTGGAGAATGCTGATTCCAGGTTAGATAGCGTAATGAAAAAAATGGCCAAAGTGTTACACATGTCAAATGGTAAGTCAAGATGTCTTTGCTGTTTAATTGAGTTTTTATATTGATTATCATTTCTTTCTTTTACTCTTCGCTAATGAATTTGATCCATTAGCTCTGAATATTTCTACTCAGTGAGCTTAACAATATAAGATATGCAGATTACACAGTGTTGATAGCAGACACAGAAAGGAAACTACAAAAGCTCCTACAAAAGGTAGTGAAGGAAAGCAAGAAGAAAGGACTAAGTGTAAGTTACAAGAAGACAGAATGCTTGGTTCTCAGCAAAAGGATGAGCCCAAAATTCAAATTACAAATCATGGATACTAAAATCAAACAAGTACAGAAATTTAAATATTTGAAAAGCATTCTAAAAGAGGACAGAAAGTGTGACACTGAGACCTGAAGACGTATTGAGATGGCCTAAATGTATTCTAAAAACTAAGCAAAGTATTAAGAGAGAAAAAAATTTGTTAGAAACAAAGAAAGGAGTACTGAACTGTTACATTATATCTATCCTTCTGTATGGCAACAAATGCTGGACAGTCTCTCAAAGATGAAGAAGAGACTTGAAGCAACAAAAATGTGATTCTACAGAAAGATGCTGAAGATATCATGGACTGAACATGTGAGCAACAACGTTTTGGAGAAAATAGAAACGAAAAGGAAACTTATACTTAACATCAGGAAAAGGCAGTTGAAATTTCTGGGGCATGATATGAGGAAGGAGGGCTTGGAAAACCTGATACTCACAGGACAAATTGAGGAAAGCTGTGTGTAATGTACTTGATGAGCTTGAGTAAATGGATGGTAGAACAGGGTTCAGGAGAAATAAGACAAAACTTATTAAGAACTACAAGGGACAGGAAGATGTGGAGGGCCATGATCACTTACATCCTGAAGGAACACAGCACATAGAAGAAGAGCTTTGATTATTTGACATAATAGAACCCAGCTGGGCGGGGCTTAGATTACCCACAAAATAAAGTGGACTGTGAATGATTTTTATCTGGGCTGGATTTTATGACTGTCTAAACAATAAAATATAGAAATGAGTTTCAAGGTGGCCACCTATTGTCTACAGAGGAGGAGAGGGAAGTGATGCAAATAAATAAATAAAAACTTTCATGATTAAGTACCACTTAGCTGGAAGGCGGGGAGGTACGGCTATGGACTTATACAGACAGATGACAACAAGATGGACAGAGGGACATTTAGAATTATTGCTGGATGAAGAGAAGATCTGGTCTGTTAGTCTGTTGTGAGAAAAGACAGAAAATAGAATTGAAGTTTTTCCAATTGTCACCAACTTACTACCAAACAATCCATGAATAAATAACTCTAATATGTTAGATATGCATTTTCTTTTCTCACCATGATGTTAATTTTACCTTTCATTGACTTGTGAACATGGAACACTCACATAGAAGAGGATGACAAATGAATTTATTTTAGTCTTAAGTGTTTTTATGGCCAGCAATAAAGTCTGTGAAATGGGGTCTTCAAAGTAGCTACCCACTTCACCAAAAAGAAATAAAATAATGGATAAATATATTAAAAGTTTTAAGATCAAGTGGTACTTGACCAGATGTTGGAGATTTCCGATCATAGGCTTAATTGACAGTTACAATTGGGATAGACGGTAGTTCTGGGTTGCCTTTTGTTGGGTCCATGTTGTCCATCAAAGTAGTTCCCATGTAGAGATGGGCAGAGAGATGATAGGAGAGAGAGTTCTTACTGATTGAAGGGCAAAGCTGATCTATAACCTGTAATGACAGAAGCAGCAGTTGTCCCAAGTGTCACCTACCTACTGAAGAATCATGCAAGTAAATTCCTAAATAAACAAATTGGCAAAAGGATTCCATTTTTCATTTCTCACTGGTATCAATAAAAATAGAGATTCTGTCTATATTTCTGAGATGAGGTATTATGTACATTATTTACATTATTTGGACTATTGTTCTCATCTTTGTCACCATATTTATCACAACGTTTCGGCCGTTGTATGCTCCAGCCTTCTTCAAGTGGTTGGAATGTCGAACCTAACCCTTTATTTCGCTCACTGGGGTAGAAAGTTCTCCACTGCCTTAACTGGGTATTGAACTCACACTCTTTGGGTCTTGTCACTGGATCTAACCAACCCCTTTATCCACTGTGCCATGTGTCCTTGTTTCAGAGGGAAAATTAACAGGAGATAACTGATAGCTGACATCCATCAAACATGGCATGTGGAACTATAACAGTCTACCCCAGTGAGTGAAATAAAGGGTTCAGTTCGATATTCCAACCACCTGAAGAAGACCAGAGCGTACGACAGCCGAAACGTTGTGATAAATATGGCTACAAAGATGAGGACAATAGTCCAAATAATGTAATAAAAATAAAGATGCAACATGGAATTATTTGTTTGGTTGGTGAAAAGCTAAGAGAGAGACCTGTTGTATGTTTTCAATGTACACTGTACCTTTTCCCAGTTTTTGTTAACACTGAAAGAATAGAGTCATGAGGTGATTTGTCTGATTGGTGAAAGGCTGGATGACGACCCTGGTTGTATATGTGTGTGTGTGTGTGTGTGTGTGTTGTTTTTTTTAACTAATGCTCACCCTATACACAGGGAAAGAGCCACATGAGGTATTGGGTTGCTGAAGGAGTTTGTTGTGTAAGAGGTGCAGTCTATGAGAATATATGGGAATGCTAACAGTTAACTCTGGACTTGAACAGGTTAAGATTATAGTGGCTGGGATAGCATCTTTTCGGAGTTGGTTCCTTAATGTAGCAGTTTGTGGGAAGAAGCCGTTTGAGTGGGACTTACATTTCATCAATGGAATATGACAAGAATGAAGGTGATTTGCCTAAGTGTATGTGGCATGGTAGGTTCTTAGCTCCGAGTATTATTGGTGGAACTAGAAGTGTATTTACCATGGAAATAGTGGTAGAGTAACAAGAGGCTTGCAACATTTCGTCTGTAGGAAAAGAATTGTAGGTTGGAAAATAATTTGGCACTCACAAGATATTGTAGATGCTTTTACACACTTATCAAGACTGGAAAATGAAAACTGTGCAGCTCAAGCCCAGACATGACAACAATATAATCGACCTGATCTGGTTCTTGTAAAGGTAGAAGATAGAATCTCTATTCTAAGCAAGTAACTTTACAGTCCTTCATGTCTGTTTGTATTTTGGTCACCCAAAAATGATTTGGTAAATTCTTGCTTTCTCTTGTCTTTTTTTTTTTTTCTCTCTCAATTCCTTTTCTTGTTGGCAGTCTCTCTCTCCACCTTTTTGATATCCTAGATATTAATCGCTTGAAATTGGCTGGTGAGATATTTTCTGATTAAATTTTTTTGTCCTTCAGTGACTGGTGAGATATTTTGCCAATATGATATCACACTGTGACAGGTCCTGTTATGAGTCATGCCTTATTAAAAATACTAAAATTTAATTTTCCTCTTCTAGATCTGAAATCTAATTCTACATGTTTCCTTAAGGTGGTCAATGGTATTTAGACAGAATTTATTAAACAACTTTGCATCTTAAAATTGTGGCCCCTGTAAAGAATTATGTATATGTGTAGTTATGTCAATAAGTCTAATGATGATAAAAACATTTATTTTTCAACGTAATTCCATTCCTTGTCAATGCACTTAATTTGATGAGGAATATGTTGGTACATCAATATATCTGTAGCCTAATGAAAAAAAGCTTTTTTCCCCAACAACAAATATTTATTTTTCACTCTAATCTCCTTCCTTGTTAATGCACTTAATTTGATGGGGAATATGTATGTACATCAATAAATTTGTAACCTAAAGATGAAAAAAAGCATTTATTTTACACAACAAATATCTATTTTTCAATGTAATAGCATTCCTTGTTAATGCTCTTAAGTAGATGAGGAATATGCAGGTACATCAATATATATGTAGCCTCATGATGAAAAAATCCTTTTGCACAAAAATATATATTTTTCAATATAATCTCTTTCCTTGTCAATGCACTTAATTCAATGAGGAATATTTATGTATATCAATATATTTGTAGCCTAATGCTGAAAAAAGCATTCAAATTTACACAAGTATCAATTTTTCAACATAATCTCTTTCCTTGTCAATGTAATTAATTCAGTTCTGAATATTAATCATATCGTTAGAACATTATACAGTGAAAACTTCAGATGAAGATTTAGTTAATAACTGTTGTCAATCTACAGACTTCTTGCTCCACCCTCCTGCTTGTGAAGAACTTTATGGCAATTTTGGAAGTTGTGGGTCTTCTTTAGTAGTGAATCATATAACAATTCAAGACAGTTTGGAGATGGTGAAAGCATTGCCCTTAGGCAAATGACAAGATATTTTACAAATATAACTTCACACATTGACTTTGATAGTAAGAGGTCTGTCTGGGGAATATATCCAACCATTTTTGAACATTTCAAGAACTATTTATGTTAGACTAATGTCCTCATCTCTGAGGAGGTAATAAGAAGAACATTAGGTTAAAGTGAGTTCAATCCCTGGGCCAGGTAGTATAGACTCCATGAAAACAAGACTAATGATTGATAAGGGTGCGGTACAGAAAAAGGAAAGAAAAGATGAGATATGTCTAGACATGGAGAGCAAAACAAGAATAATAAATATAGATTAAATGAATGTTTGAAGATGGACATATTAAAAGTAATACAGACATGTTTGAAAATGATTAAAAGCAATTCATTCATGGTTGAAAATGTGTAAAAAAGCAGTGGGGATTCCAAAGATAGTTATAATGAAATATTGTTAATTGCACACATATTTGTATTATATGTTTGTGTATTTAGGATGTGAATGTGTTTGTCTTGTCATTTGAATATTCCCTTCCCTATCTACTTCCTTATTTGAATTCAGACTTCCATGTATCAAATGTGTGTAGCAATCCTTGATACACCTTACATCAGCGTCGAACTTAACTGATAAATTGGCACTTCACTAAGAACAATAAAATATATTTTTTCTTCTAGTTTCATTGGGGAATAATTTTGTAATAAT